TAGGATTATTGGTTTGCTTCTTAATTTGCGTACAGTGCTACAGAACAAAGTTTACATAACATTTCCAGATTTTATTTGTGCATTCATTAGTTCTTTGCATAAAAAGCATAAAGCGAAAGCATAATGAGGAAGCTGTTTCTGTTTGCTGTCGTTTTATGCGTCACTTTAACGCGGGTTGGGGTGCTAATATTAAAAGTTGTTTAATTTAATTTAATCTTTGTATATTTCGGTCCACTGCAAGAAATGCTTCGCACGAAAATCCAATTATATCTTATAATATTTCTAAAACAAGTCATAACTAACTTAACATGACGTATATGTGGAACCCTAATGTTCAGTACCGTGTTCACAAAAGCGTGCCACCAGACGATGTCCTGAGCCAGATATATTTATTGCACACCCTCGTGCCCAGGGTCTTGGAGAATAGTTTTGATGCGTAGCCAGGATCTAACCGCTTGAATTATTTTTCTGAAATTTCCGTACTATTATCAACTGAACAGTAACTCCCTTTCGGGGGTTTGCGTTCAGAGCTTTAGCACTGCACTGTGCATTTTCACAATCCAGGATTAAACGTAGTTAATGACTTAGGTGTTGTGTAGGTTTTCATGTAATCTTTAGTTTCATTTCCCACCGAACTGTGTTGGTGGCACCACGTTAATGCGGGCAAACCGACAATGACATCACGTGTAATTCGCTGATTTACACGTGGAATGAGAGGAAATTGAGTGGGGGTAGTGATATCTTTTGTGTAACAAATTAAAAATACCTTGAGCACAACACCTAACGCGTTTGATTGGGTTTTAGGACACTCGGTTCCGGAAGAAAGTAGTCAAATGCCAAGTTTTTTTTTAAAATTAACTTTGTAAGTGAATTTAACTCTTAGAAAATTTCGTAATTAAATTTGGCATGGACTGGATTCAGTTAAATTTCCTTGTATTTTTAAAAGCATTTCAGAAGTGTTTTTGTTTGCTATAAACCAGTTTGCTATTGTTTTCAAGATGTTTGTACTGCACACAATTACTGTTTCGATTATTATCTTGAATTTTATCAAAGTCTTGTTTATGTTAACAACATGTCTGATACCATAAAAGCATAAAATAATGGAATAATAGTTCAGTACGTTATTAGTATTTTTATTAAAGGAACAGTGCACAACACATATAATCAGAAATACATTTTTCTGATTGAATTTTATCAATTTCGATGTGTGTATCAGCAACTGGGCCTGAATTGGTATTTTTAAACCCAAATATGGAGGCAATGCCATCTATAAAACGTTTGTAATCACCTACAAAGTTACACGGCGTCACTACCTAGAAGACGACAATCGATATTTTAACCGTTCGATATTTTAAAGAGAACCTCACATCCCGTCAATATGCTTCGTGCGACTTGATATGTTTCAACAATTGATGGACTGCCTTTTGTATACGTAACTGGACCTAGGAGTGATTTCCGTCGCTAAACGAGGTTCGAACGTAACTGCTTTTTGTCAGATATGGTCGTCTTTCAGCAAGCTTTATTCCAGGCCCTTGCAATGCTACATTTTACTCTGTCTTTCTTCTATCTGAAATACAGCGTAACAAGTGGATAATACACAAGTATACGAGAGCTGTACTATATTGACACGTCTATCCAGTAAGAAACACTCTCTCCAGACCTTCAGAATTCTGGTATCCAACTATATGAACCACCTGCTTTAAGACTCAGTTCCACTTCATTTTGTTTTTATGGCTTTTGTGTGATTTTTAAAATTAACGGAAATTGTTTCTTTAGACGTTAATTAGTTGATCGTTGTCATGGAGATGAGTTGTCTTCTTTGAGGTACGG